CATTCTGAGCACTAACAAAGGCATACACCTGGCATGTTTTTCAAGTAGCTGGGTCTGGGATTTGAACTGTGCAGTTGGCCATATGTTGGCCCTGCTATTTTTTTCACTGTATCAATAGTAAAATGAAACTTACTCTTTTAATCATTTATAAGGGTATAGTTCAGCAGCACTAAGGATGTTCACACCACTGTATAACTGTCCTCACTACACTAGCTATCACCAGAACTTTTCATCACTTGAAATGGAAACAGCACAGTAAACACTAACTCCCGACTCCTCTTTCCCCAGGCCCAGGCAGTTGCCATTCTACTTTCTGTTTCTATAAATCTGACCTTTCCTGGCGGCTCATAAAAGTGAAATCACACAGTATCTGTCCTCTTATGACTGGCTTTTTCACTTAGCACAGTACCTTCGTCAATGTTACAACATGTATCAGAATTTCATTCTGAATGACAAAGGTTTTCAGGCTGAACAATATTCCATTGTATGTATATATCACATTTTATTTATCCATTCATCTGGTAATGGGAATCAGGGTTATTTCCATCTGTTGGCTATCATGAATAATGCTGCTGTGAATATAAATATACAAAAAACTATTTGAGTCTCTTTTTAATTCTTCTAATATACCCAGAAGCCGAACTGCTAGATCAGATGGTAGCTTACAGTTAATTTCTTTTTAAGTTTACTTATTTATTCAATGAGTAAGAAAGACGGAGAGATACAGAGAAAGATAGCACCCCTGACAGGGTCTCAGTACTGTAACCCATCCCCAGTCTCAGCCTCAGTCAGCCCCAGTCACTGGGGTTCATACTCAGAAAGGTCTCCCGTGCTAATCCAGAACTTTCCTATGTGGGTCGGCCTTGCAGAGCATCGTGTTTTACCACTGTGCCACTGACGGCCCTCTGTGTTTAATTCTTTTTTGAGGAACCATTTTCCACAGTGATGCACCATTTTACCTTCCTATCAACAATTCACAGGGCTCTGCTTTCTCCACAGTCTTGCCAACACCTGGTGATCTGTTTTATTGACAGAGTCAAGTGAAAAATGAGTGTGGGATAGTCCACGGGAACACATGTACTTCATCCTCTCGGAGAACAATGCAAATACTTTTCACAATAGCATTAAAGAGGATACAATCTATATGACCATCAAAGATGTTTAATTGTAGTATATTCATCATATTCATACATGGGGATACCATGTATATGGCAGTTTACAACAAATGGATTTTGACAGATAAAATATGAGGACTCTCAAGAACAAAACTGGATGGGACTTATAACTCAAAGTATGACATGGTTTACACAACGTTCAGAAACACAGACCTAGACAATATGTTTCTTAGAGACATATGTCTGTTAAAACTATCTGGGAAAAAAAAAAGAATGATTAAAAAATGAATATTGGGACCAGCAGTTGTCGTAATGGCTATGTCGCTGGACTCCCATGTAGTCACCCGCAGTTCTAGTCCTGGATCCAGTGACTTAAACTCATGCCAGGTGCGTGTGCTTTCGTGCCAAGATCCTGAGAGGAGAATGGAGGAGAAGGGATTGTGGTGTGGCCATCCTATCTGGGGAGTGATTTCTCGCTTTCTGTCTCTCTGTCTTGCTGTCTTTCTGGCAAGTACACACGCCTCATAGCAAAAACCTCTCACTGCACCCCCCCCCCAAAAAAAAAGCTTAACTGTTAACTAAGTGGAGAGCAGAAAGAACATTTTACAGTTAAAGTGGTTGGTGGGTTCATGGACATTTCCTATACATTTCTTTACATCTTACATATCCTCCTATAAATGTTCTTGTACAGTCATTTGATATTTACCCCCAAAAATTTAATTTTAAGAAACATTTACATTTTAAAAAGGTATAGTGGGCAATAAGAACTTGCCCTATAATTTCTGAGATAAGTCACATTCTAAAATGAATTATGGAATCTAATCATAGTGGTTAGAATAACACCAACAATTCTGTTCCAACTTTAAGATTCTATTAATTTTTTTTCTTTTTCATTTTTTGAGAGTTTTTTGTTTGTTTGTTTGTTTGTTTTGCTATAGGGTGCATGTGCTTTCCAGAGAGACAGAGAAAGACAGAAACAGAAAGCAAGAAATCACCCTGCAATCCCTTCTCCTCCGTTCTCCTCTTGGTATCCTGCATATGCGCCTGGCGTGAGTCTAAGCCACTGGGCCCGGGACTTGAACCATGGTTGACTACACGGGAGTCCAACGACATAGCCATTACACCAGCGGCTGGTCCCAAGATTTTATTCATTTATTTGGAGGTATTTCAAACATAGATAGTGAGTTTGTTTGATGTACTTGGTATTCTTTTAGATGCTGGGGTACAGCACTGAGCAAACCAGATGCAAATTCCTGCCCTTGTGGATTTAGCTCTAGCATCACTGGCCTGGAACTGGGAATCTGATATAGCTAATTAACAATTAACTGTTAGGTATCCTCCCAAATGATGCTCTAAGGACCCATATCCTACCCAAGGGAGCGGAAGGTCAGAAAAGGCTTTTCTAATAATCAAATTAGTCTGGGCTTGGGACCAGCAGTTAGCGTAATGGCTATGTCACTGGACTCCCACATAGTCGACTGTGGTTCGCACCCCGGACCCAGTGGCTTAAAACTCACACCGGACGCGTGTGCGTGCGTGCCCAAAATCCCGAGAGGAGTATGGAGGAAAAGGGATTGCGGCGTGGCCATTCCCCCGGGGGGTGATTTCTCGCTTTCTGTCTCTCTGTCTCTGTCTGGCGAGCGTACACGAACCGTAGCAAAAAAAACCTCTCAAAAAAAGAAAAATTAGTCTGGGCTCTGAATAGAATCTCTGATCAACTTAATTCTCCTTTATCAAACCATGCATTTACTTTATGAAGAACTAGAATTTGCATGCCAACAGCTTTGATCTACACTGTGAACATCATTTCACGGAAATGAAGTCTGGTTTTCATCTCAGTTCCTTCTATTTCATATGACTGCTCAGTCTCAGGTTTTGAAGGAAATAATCAAGTTTTTCTTTCCTAAGTGCTTTCTGTAAGGGCATATATAGCTGGTGCACTCATCGTGAGGCCAAGACTTGCTGAGAACTCCCTGACGGGGTGGATGAGCCTGCCTAGAAGCAGGTTTGCACACCTGCTCACTAAGACCATAGTGTGGCTCTGGGCACAGACAGGGCTCCATATCCGTCTGAGGTTTACTCTTTATTTAGCTATCAAGTGCTCTGTGTGTTTTGTAACCCTGAGATGAGGTGAGTGGAGAGAAAAAGAAAATAAAGGTGCTACACTTTTAAGAAAAGTCTACTGACCAGCCCTATGAAAAGATCTTTTTCCCTGGCCTTTGTTACTATTCGTACAAGAAGACAAGGAAAACAAGCTGCTCCTTCTTCCTCTTCAGCTCTCTAGCCTTATTAATATCTTCAAATTCAGTCAATTTCAACTCAAAACTTCCTACCAGTGGGGGAGGGGAAAGAAGGGAAAGATTTGTGGCTGCATGTTTAAGAAAGAAGCTGAATTCATCACAGTGACAGGGGAGAGTGTTGGCAGAGATCTGAGCTATTTATTCTTTTAGGAAAATCCTATAAAGAATGACACAAGGAAGCCTCTATCTGCAGTCTTGTTCATCACACTGGTGAAGAGTCCGATAACAGATGTATGCAGTAGCGTGATTTAGTGCCAGGAGCTGGCCCCTGATGTGTATTAATACAGCGGCAAAGCGGAACGCACCTCTCTTCATCACTCATTTCTATAAAAGAGGTGGAATCCGAGATGGCCCGATGTTAGGCAGAGCAAGCCCATTTGTTCTACTGACTGATGGCGCAGGCTCGGGCTATGTCCTTCACCTCCATGGGGCACTCAGGTTGTGGGCAGGAAAAAAATGCTCGGTTGAAGCAGGGCTTAGTCAACAAGTGAGAGGAGAGTTGTGCTGAGCGGGGGAAATGTTTAATGTTCAACTTTTGTTTAATACCTCCCAGTACATTTCCTAATTTGAATATGGAGTAAGGATTTTAAATTCTTCCCAATGGTTCTTCTCCTATAAAGAAAAGCTAAAAATTAAAGTTAGATATTGGGGAGAAAAAAAAAAGACCAAAAAGAAAAAAGAGGAAAGATTTTGTTTTACTGCTTCAAATATAGACTGGATGAGAATCTGAGTTTGATGTGAGTTTGTAGTTTGGAATCAATCCTACTGCATATAAAATGTCAGAACACACACGGTGTTTAAGAGTGTAGCTCTAGCGTCATGGGCAAAGGTCTCATTCTGGCTCTGAAATTTCTCAACCATGTGACCTTGGGGAAGTGATTTAAGCCTCAATTTCCTCACGCAGAAGTTGAGAATAAATACAGCATCTATCTTATAAAGCTACTGCAAAAGTAAGTGAAATAATGCAGGCAAAGTGTTCCGCTCAGAGTCTGGCCATGTGGAACCACTAAGGAAATTTACTACACCTGTAATTAAGGTTGTCCAGTATGAACCACCATCAAGAAGGCATTCCAGGGACCAGCAGTTAGCGTAATGGCTATGTCGCTGGACTCCCAAGTAGTTGACCGCGGTTCGCGTCCCGGACTCGGTGGCTTAAATCTCACGCCGGGCACGTGTGTGCGTGCCCAGGATCCCAAGAGGAGAAGGGATTGCAGCGTGACCCTAGGGGTCACCCCTGGGGGGTGATTTCTCGCTTTCTGTCTCTATGTCTCTGTCTGTCTGGAGAGCGCACACACCCTATAGCAAAAAAAAAAAAAAAAAAAGGCATTCCAAACAGAAGTTCAAAGAAGACAATTTCGGAGTACACCAAAATTAAGTAGAGGTATGTGGTGGATCTCCAGGATCCTTTTTTGCACTGAAGGATAAACGCAACAATGTACATAAATTGTTAGATACAGCTCAGGAATCTTTACAAATGTAAACACCCATGTAACTCCTACCTAGCTCAGGCTAAGGAGCCTGTCCAGCAACCCCAGCTCTCTTGTGCCCTTCATCGAAAGTAACTACTACTTTACTATTACCAGCTAGTACTAACTTTGCATTGAAAACCACAAGGTTTTCAATAGAAAATTGTTTTTAATTAAGGCATTTCATGACTGGCAAAGAATCAGCATTCTACCACACATAAAAGCAGTGAGAATGTACTGTTCTGTACATTGAAATACAAAAATAAGTAAATCCAGGAACCAGCAGATAGTATGGTGGTTAAGGCACTGGACACTCCCACATGGCCAACTACAGTTCGAGTCCCAGACTTGGTGACTTACTTTCTCACTTTCTCTCTTGCTCTCTCTCTCTCTTGCTCTCTCTCTCTCTCTCTCTCTATATATATATATATATACATATACATACACACACACACACACACACACACAAATTAAATAAATAATTCTTTTAAAAAAATAAGTAGACCCATGTGATTCCTTGACTACTAACTGCCACACAACTGGATTTTCATTAACATAGACTTAACGTCTTGTGTGTGCTAGAACAAAAGCTCAGATGACTATACATTGCTGATAGTACAAAACTCTAGAAAGCCATGTGACAGCATGAAAAGCATAGATTTCACAGTCTGACAAAACAGGGTAAATTATTTCTCACGGTCAGTTTTCCCATGTAAAATGGGAATAAAACTACCTACCTTATCATCGAGATTGTATGAACAGCATATAAAACACACAACTTAGTGCCTGACACATAGCAAGTGCCCCATAAATGGTAACTGCCTGGAATCACCTGCACTGGGACTGGACAGAGACGCTGTGGCCACAGGTTTCCGTTTCCTCTTGATGTCACGTGAACATGGCGGTCCCCAGTGAATGTTGGCCTGTCTGAGATAAAAGAAAAAGCATGTTCTGGATGTGCTATACAGCAAGGCGGGGTTCATTTCCTGCCTTCCCCCTCATTCTCTTACTCCAAGTACCCAGCTTCCTTTTCATTTTCCCCAGGCTTGGTCTGGGTTCTCTTCCTTCTTTGTCCTCCAAGGCTCTTCCCAAACAGATGGAGCCCTCATATGGAAAAACAGATTTTCCCTCTGCAGGTGCTACAGAGGTTTAAGTGGCTGGATTCCACATGGCCTACTGTGCAACTGGAATCCTGAACGCGGTGGCGTGTGTGTGCATGCCCAAAAATCCCGAGAGGAGAATGGAGAAGGGAACATGGGTAACCATCCTCCCTGAGGGTGATTTTTCACTTTCCCTCTTTATCACTCACTTTCTCTCTGTTCTCTTCAGCAAGCACACATGCCCTATAGGAAACTAAATTAATAATTAATAGCTTATTTTAAAAAAGAATAATAGATTTTTTTCCAAGTTACAAGCTCTATCAGTAGTTGTCCACTTAAAACAAAAGTGTCTATTGTTCTTTATCATAGTTTAACTGTTTTTCTTCTTCCCTTTCCAAAAATGTGACCTAGAAAGGGACATAGTGAGAAAGTATCCCTGTGTATTCAGCCCTAAGACATAATGTTATTCTATTGATCTCTCTTATGAAACAGCTTTTCAACCCAGAAACAGGTCATAAGAGAAATAATTTGAGAAGGAGGGAGTATTGAAATCATTTTTGGATGAACATGCTCTCTTTTTAGGGCTACCTCTGCTTCTCTGTGATGTTCTATAACCGGAAAAGCTGTGCTTATTTAAAATAAATAGCAGCTGCAAACGGGACTAGGTTACAAGGTCCATCAAGGCAGAGACTGTTCATCACTGAACCTCGCGTGCGGCATAACGCAAGGCACACAGTAGGTGCTCACTAAATTAAGGAGAAAAACTAGAAAGGCAAGACATTTCTGGGACACAGAAATGGACTGCTGTCTCTTGATGATTACGTGTAGAGTATCCGTAACTGGGCTGGTGTGAGGTGTATTCATGCTGGGTAAATTCACTTCACGAGCTAAGTGATGCATAGTGATTGAATGTGTAAAATAAAATTAACAAAAAAAAAAAACTTAGTGAACAATGAAAGACACAAAAGCCCTGCTGAATAGAAAGAAAAACGTTCACACAGAAATACATACTTTGTCAACATGAGGTTATTACCTAACAAGTTTGTTACTTGAATGTGATCTAATTCAATCATGTTTGTCGTCAAATATTTCAGAAAGAGAAACAGTTTATATTCACGCTCTTTCTGCCTTACCTTAAGCTCATTACTAGAATCTTCAATACTTTTCAGAAAAAATGTTAACACTTCTGCTTCAAAGCTCAACTCTGTTATTAGACATCAGGAGAGCAGTGCGCTCGGGCCATGGGGGTGTGAAGGGGAGGGACAGAACCTTATTTGTGGATAAGACAGAAGCCCCATCGTGTACACTCTGTTTTGTTGAACAAAAGTTTGCAGTCACTTTCTTTTCTGCCTGTGTCTTAGCTTCACAGGGTATTACACCGCTCCATGCAGACTGAAGTCTCGTCTATTTTTAGTGTTTTATCATGTGTGTTAATTTATTTTATTTCCACAATTGACATAAGGTATAAAATATACACTGTTCCCCACTTTATACATTTACTCAGAAATAACTATTTGGATTTTCACAATTACCTATTCACAGGTTATTTAACTTGAAGTTAACTTTTTTCTGCAACAGGAGACAGTATCAACAAAAGATGACTGGGATAGAATTTTCTAAACCTCTGGTTTTGTACCAAAAATCTCAGCCTGCAGTCCTTTACACTCTATAAAGAAATTCTTTGGATTCCCATCAAATTTTTCTATTTTCCAGTTTATAAGTGAAATTGGTCTTATGTTCTTGCTATGTGGAGAAACGTATGTGTGAGTTTCAGCATGCACACATGTGTGCTTTTAAACTGTACAAATCGTCAGATTGGGGATCCTCTGAATAGAAAATTCTGTCCATTTGGCTGTCTTGTTTCTTTGCTAATTAGGTTCTCTTAGGTTTGTCTGAGGTTCCAATTTCAAGAATATTTATTAAGGGGACCAGCAGTTAGCGTAATGGCTATGTCGCTGGACTCCCATGTAGTCAACCGCGGTTCATGTCCTGGACCCGGTGGCTTAAAACTCACGCCGGGCGCGCGTGTGCGTGCGTGCCCAAGATCCCGAGAGGAGAATGGAGGAGAAGGGATTGCGGCGTAGCCATCCCCCCTGGGGGGTGATTTCTCACTTTCTGTCTCTCTGTCTCTGTCTGTCTGTCTGGCGAGCGCACGCACCCTATAGCAAAAACCTCTCCAAAAAAAGAAAAAAAAAAACCCAGCACGTAGTGAAACACCTATTTACTGACATTAATCTTGAATGTCTACTTCTCTGAGATTAGATAAAAAGTTTAGAATGAGCGTGTGTTGTGGGTAAAGAGTAAGTTGTGATTATTTACTGAATAAGCATCAGAGTTTAATGGCAAAAGATGCCCATCTTTTAGGACAAGGAGATTCCAATTCGTGGAAAGTATAGAATTAAAATACACGCTACTGTAGTCCAAAAAGAAATTGACATCCATGAGTATTTTTCATAATATGCATTTTCCATGAACTTTTGTGCTTGTCAGAGACCGAGAGAAAATGGGAGAAAGCATCCCACAATGGGACATGGTCACACCACAATCCCTTCTCCATTTTCCCATTCTGTCAGGATTTGAGCACGCACTCACATGGCTGGTATGTTTTTCAAGTCATCTGGGGCTGGGCTTAGAACTGCAGTAAGGGACCAGCAGATGGCATAATGGTTACATCACTGGACTCCTACATGGCCAACCACAGTTCGAGTCCTGGACCCAGTGGCTTAAAACTCACACAGGGTGTGTGTGCTTGCATGCCCAAGATCCTAAGAAGAGAATGGAGAATAGTGGCATGGCCATCCCCACTGGAGGGTGACTTATCACTTTCTGCCTTTTTGTCTCTCTGGCCAGCATTCATGCCCTATAGCAAAAAACAAACAAACAAACAAACAAAAAAAAACAAAAAAACCTCTCTTTTAAAAACAAAGACAAAAAAGAACTGCAGTCAGCTATGTGAGATCTGGCTCCCTCAACCACTACACCACAGGGCTAGCTCCCCTAAAACCTCTTCTTCAAGAACAGCATATATAACATCATGACCTGAAAAGTCATGATCCATTTTTGAATAGAAAAACATGGAAAAATATGTCATGACTTTCCTGATGATCCAGTAGTTGTCCTTGAGTTGCTAACCATGTACTATGTGTTAAAGAAGGACCTTTCAGGTATTCAGGGCACAAAAATGGCTATACAAATTAAGTACGAATAAAGCTAAAATCTATACCGAGTTAAAACTTCATTTTCTATTACAGTATCAAGTGGTTTATTGGAATCATGTAAGGAGCTTGTACAAAATATGCACACTCCCACCAAGATTTTAATTTAGTACACTGGTCTGACCAAGATTTTAATTTAGTACACTGGTCTGAAGTCAGAAAAGAATCAGTAAGATGTTTATTTTTAAATTCTTCCCCAGGTAATTCTGAGAAGCACCTACCTACCGTGAAGATTACTGAGTTAAAAAAAAAAAAAAATCTGCCAAATTCCCACAGCTAACCCAGCCAATAAAAGAGATCTAAATAGTTAATCTAAAGAATAGGATGATTAAATGAATATAAATTGAAATAAAAATACCTTCCCTCCCATACAAGCAATTAGCCTAAAGAAAAGATAGGAGATCTTTGTTTCATCTGGTCAAGGCCTCAGGATGATGTTCACTGAGGCCAGGAAATACTGGGAAGTGCTTTCTCCAGCATGAATGCTGGGCTCAGTACCTCCTCTAAGAGTGTCACATTCTCCCACTATGGTGGCATTTGTCAAAAAGAACTTCGGGGAATACAGAAGAAACAAGCACTAAAAGCAATAAATAAATCTTTTTTTTTTTAAAAAGAGTCCTACTTTGGAAAAAGCCACTAAATTCTTATCATGAGTGTGAAGGTGAATACTGAAGATTAACAATTAATTGAAAGAGTACTCTTTATATCCATGCATAAACACGACACTTCCCTTTTATTTTTTACTGCAGGTAACTGAAAGATCAGGTGAGCTGTTAAAACTGCAGTGTTACTTAGGAAACTGGGCAGATCACTATGTCCCTGGGGCAGGAATGTACTTTTAGGGGGGAAAAAATTACTTTGAGAAATACATGCATGTTTAATAGAACCAATGTTGGCAAAAAAAATAAATAAATTACTGAAGTGGCTGCGTTAGATTTAGAACAAAGATGTTTAGAGTCACTCCTAAGAAGAGAAAACAGACTTTATCTGCCACTGGCACACTAATTTAAGAAACAGTTCACCTTCAAAATCAGTCATTTTTAAAAGCCATTGAAAAATTCCTATTTTATATGAAGTAAAAAATTGAATTTGAAAATATATTTACTTGCTGAACTTTTTCATAAACACATACAAATAAATAACACTGGGGGGGGGAGTGGATGTTTTGAAGGACCAAAGATCAGTTACATCATACATTTCAATTTTCTCCTTAATTACTATTCTTACACTTCAATTATCTTTAACAAAAATTTATGGAGGCCGTTCTTGTATAAAACACTCTGCTGGATATATAGGAAGCAAAGAGAATATGACTGAACCCGCTCCTCCTCCCCCCCCCCCAG